AAAAAAAAAAAAAAAAGAAAGACTTTGGGGGGGAGCGGAGTCAGATGGCCAGATCGCTCTCTTTGACATGCCTTCGCACCTCTTTGGCTAGTTCCGCTTCGCCACCCCTTTGCCAAGCGGCTTTGTGACGCGAATAGCCGCCCAGCTGCTCGTCTGCTCCCAAGCCCGAAAGGAGCACCCTGGCATGGCTGATGTAGCGAGTGCGTGCAGCCGAGGGCGCGGTAGGGGACTCGCTCCCGTCGCTCGGCAAGTAGCCGACGCCACGCGAAGCAAAGTATAGGGCAGCTGCGATGCTCTACGGCGTAGCTCAAATTTGCGTCAGCTGGAGCGGCAGGATTGACGGGGCGCATCGTGCTGTTTCATCATTCCCTGCTCACCAAGTCCATCTGATTCGTGCAAAGGGGGGGACCAAAGGTGGACAAATGATCATCTGCATTAGCAGCGCGTCAAACGAGAAGGAACTGCACGGATACCATCTCGACTCACAACACTGCTGCTGGGATACATCAGATGCATCACCTCTTGCTTATGATCTTCGTATTCTTGCGCCTCCACATTAATCTCGATCAATCTCCATTGCCGCTGCGGGTTGATCTCGCGCAGCTCTTGCACTCCTCTCCTCGCAGTCAAGCGATCGGGCGTGTCAAAAGTCGCACTTGACTCAGCCTGATGACCTTCCGTGACGCATTTTGAGCGGGCTGATGCGAGCTTTCTAGGATTGGCGAAGGCGACGGTTAGGAGTTCGATGGGTTGATGCGACGGATAGACTAGATCCGTCAAGGCGGCCAGCACGGCCGAATCTAGGCCGCCCGAGTAGAGCAAAGCGAGGGCGGGGCTGCATGCGCATCAAGGTATGATCCGGCCCAGCGGCAACACGTGAGTTTGACAATTTGTCGGAGGGAAAATGTCGCACTTTGGGCAAGTCTTCGACTCACGCGTCACTTTGTGTGGCACCGTGGATCGATTCGACTCTTCGACGGACGGCTTCCTTTAGGACATTGTGCAGAATACGCACCGCTGCTTCCCTCGCCTCGTCAGACGAGCGGTGCTCCGTCTGGTCGTTGGTCATCTCTTTGATGACGAGCGGGCGCGTCATCTAAGAGCGCGTGCGCGTGAGCAGCGCAATGAAAGGGCAAGTCGTGAGTGCGCTGCGAAGGTTGTCTGTCACGCCGGCGCCCGCGACAAGCTTTTTCTCACCATCGAGTCGCGCTCGTGCTGCACTGGTCTAGCGTTCAGGTCCTGAGATGAGATGTGAACGACTTTTGTCAGACTGCCGCTGCTGTTGCCCGCGCAACGATGTGTCCAGCAGGTGAAGGCCGGCACTCACTCTCAGATCCACTTGCCACAACGCTTGAGGCGGCACTTCTTGCAGGCCAATGCCGGCCGCTCCAAGTTCGGTGCAAGATGCGTTGCAGAGGATCAAAGGTGCTGCGGTACCGCTCGTAGATTCCTGGCC